TTTTATCCTTCCTTGCTGCTTTCTTAATGACCTTCATTGAACAGTAACATCAAGTACTTGGTGTTCAATGAAGACCATTAATTTTTTACAGTTAAATAGAAGATGCATACTCCTACAGCAGATGACATCTACTCATTCTTAGCATGAAATGAACTTCTTAAAAAGGCTGTTACAGACATCTGAATGATAACAGTGTCTAAAAAAGGGAAGCACATATGCACAGCATCGTACTCACAAGAGCAGCAATTGCCCTTGCTGTGTTCTATAGAGTGCTAAGACCTGATATAACAGTAATTTTATTGATCTGCTTGGTTCCTGGTGTTGATTTGACATGAAATGCTTCCTGCTAGCTTTAAGATCAGGGATTTTGTCACTGATGTCATAAGAACAAGGGCAGTTCTACTCACGCAGAGACTCATGGCTTGGTGAAAGCATTCGAACTGCCCTATGCTTGACACACACTTCAGTCCTGCAATGCTTTTATGCAGTGGTAAGTAAATAGAGAGGATCCTGTCACCTTCCCCATCCTTACAAGTGGTAAAGTAGAACTGGGCCCTGAGGGGTCTTTCTAGGGCGTTAGTTCTAGATGCATAACTATGAAACACAAACCATTCAATTACGACTCTTTCATGGCACATAACCTTATGATGAGCTCTATTACAGAACCAGGATTAGAGATTGTATCGGTGCCAGGGTACAGCCAGACCTGTAATTTTTGAGGGTTTGGATTGAAACAAAAGTTGTTGCAGCTTAGCCAGTTTCTGTGTGTTAGCTCAGCCAACAGCTGGGTCATGATACTGGATGTGTACAGGCTGTTAGACTAGAGAACATTTTAATTGTGAGCTCTGTGAGAGAGACTTGATTTATGCAATGATTCTATCAGCAATTTGTTAAACAACTCAATTGTTGAACCAATGGGTTCAACAACCCATTTATTCAACACATAAGAAGATTCCCAAACTCCGGAAACCATGAACCATTTTAAAACATGAAAGAGCTTAATAAGGTAGAATTGTAACACCAAAAAAATTGGCTGAGAGATTTGTGAAAAAGCATGATCACTCGAAGTTTCAATGAAACAGAAGAGAAACAATTGCCATAAACTTTTTTTTTCTGTTTGGAAAAAAATTATGTTTCAACAGCTTGTTATGATGCCATGTATTATGGTGTTGCTATAAATGCAGGCAGAGTATGCATGTTGTTTTATTAATTCAAAAAGGATTCAAGGCATAACTAACATAAATCTCTTAATAGAAATTTTGAACCTAATGGAATTTTTGCTATTAAATTCACTGGGCTCAGAATTTTAGTCCACAAAAAATTACTTTTTTAGGGCATAACCCCCCATGTCCATTGAAGTCAATGAAAGCTTTTCCAGTGACCATAACTGACCTTTCATTAGGGCAATAGTTCCTTTACAAAAGCCTGTTGTTATTGCTATAACTTGCAGACTTTCTTCACAATTGTACTTGTTATGGTCGCATTCCTGAAACTGCTTTTGTCCTCTTTTATCTGAGATAGAGTTAACAAGGCCTGCTTTTCTAAGTTTCTAATGGGCTGCTATGATCTGAAGCCATCAACAGCCCTCTTCATTTTTTTTCTGTGTGATTTTGTGCAATGTTTTCTTCTTTACTTATTTTTCTCTTTGATGTTTTTGAATATCTTGCATGACAAGGCAGGATGCAGTGGTCTCACTTTTTCCTTATGATATGTTGTCAGTAAATAGGCAGAATAGCAGTTTTACTTATGTTTCTCTTATGCTTAAATCTACAATTGCAATTTGGATTTCTTCTTGTTTTAATCATTAAAAGCTATTTTATCTCCTGTAAAAATAAATCAAGATTTTTGGTTGCATTCTCCATCAAACACAACCTTTTCAGTCTGTTAGTTTCTCAAGTCCTTCTTTGTTTTCTCACTAGGTGCTTTCTATCCACTATCTTTTTTTTTCTTATTTTTTTTTTTTTTCCTTCACTCTGATCTCAAGCATTTATTTCCTATGTTGTACTGCCAAATATACATGCTCTCTGTTTTGGGGAACCAGTTCTGCTGGGTTCCACCTTCCACAGCCAGTGTTTTCTAGTTCATGAATTTCAGTTTTACTAAACCAGGAGGATTTTCTCCTTCTGGTTTGGTTTGAATTTGATTTTATAGGATTGGCAAGTTGCTATGAAGTATTTTGGGGTTCTACAATTTTTTTCTCTTGGTTTCTATACAATTTTTATTGTCAAATGCTAGAGGTTGAACATCTCTCTGGGCAAAGATATGAACCACTTTGGCTTCTGCAGAACTTATGTACTTTCCCAGTTATTCCCAACACTAATTTAAACCTGAAGATCTTTAATAAAGAGCATGAGTTTGAAAATGAAAAGACACATGCAAAGCCCTGTATCTGGGATGGATGGATTCCCTGCTATGTTACAGGCTTGGAACTGTCTGGCTGGGTTGTTGCTTTGTGAAAAGGGACCTGGGGGTCCTGCTGGACACCATGCTAAGCACGAATCAGCAGGGCTGTACTAAAAAGTGTACAGCCAGCAGAGCACAGAAAGTTGTTATCCCTCTTCACACATCACTCTTTAAATTGCATCTGGAATCTAATTTTAGGCTCCCTCCATAGGGAAATACATTGATAAATTTCAGTGAGCTCAGAAGAAGTCTGTCAAGACACCCAGGGGCTGGTGTACTTGCCCTGTGAGGAAAGGCTGTGGAACCAGGCTTGTTTAGTCTGAAGATGAGGTGACTTCAGGGCCACCCAGCAGCATATCTGCAAGCAGGATACTGCAAAGATGGAGCCATGAGATGCACCATCAAAACAGGGAAATTCCAACTGGATAGGAGGGAAAAAACTCCACCAAAATCACAGTGAGGATAACTGACACTTATTAAGACAATTGGAATATCAAAGATAATGTTACTCAGAGAAGTTCTGGAGAATCTGAAGTTTTTCAACATCAACTAGACAAAGTGCTAAAAAATTTGATTCAAATTAGTATTGATCCTGTATAGAGTATTAGGTGGAACTAGATGATATCCCAGAGTTCCTTCCAACCTAAATGATTCTATGAGCATCTTGTTCCTATAAGGCAAGAAAACAAATATACATAAAAGATGTAACCAGCTCTGTCTATTGAAAAAACCCAACAAGCTTAGCAAGAATAATTATGCTATAGCCACACAGCCAAATCTGTGAGCCCTGCTATGCTGGATGTTGATAGCAGGAGAAATCCCTATGTTTGTAAAGATTGCAACCCAATCAGCTAAACTGGACATAGAGTGAGAGCAGGAATACAGTAAGTTGAAATGATTTTCTTGAAGTCATTGTTGTCTTCAGGGTCTCCTGAGTCCTAGTCCAGTTCTTATATACTGGACCACGCTGCACTCATACTCTCTGCATAGATCTTGAATTTTTCTGAAGATGAATGTTTCATAAAACATATCCTATTTGAGAGAGAAGTGGTCACTCAGAAGATTAAGGTCTTTTTCAAATGGGATGTTCATCTATGCCAGGTGATATGGTAAATCTGAGTCATAAATATCTTTTATTTCCTTGGTCAGATAGTGCAGTGAAAGTGCAACTTGTCATTTTTGACTTCCAGTTTCAAGAGCACCAAGAATTTGAGTTTCTGAATTTGTTCCTTCATTTCTCAGCAACTGATATATTCTCCTGGATATTAAATGCTTAAAATTTAAATGACACAAAATTATTTTGTTTATCCCTTTGGATAGTTGATTTTACTTTTTTCTGCAGAAATATATCTAACTTGATTTTATGCCAAACACATTTTACATTTCAGAAACTTCTGAAATCTTTACACAGCCTAATACTGCTGTTGGCTGCCATATGTTGTAATAGAAGCTGTCCCTATTCTCCTGCTTTCTGGTCAGAGTTATCCTCCTATCTTCCCTTGCAGATCATGAAAGGTAATTTGGGGTGAAACATTTTTTTCTGACTTCTAGTGTAGTCATCAGGTTTTGTAAAATCTAATTAAATGTGGCTGCATTTGGGCTGCTGCCCTTTTATTAGGAAATGTTAACAGGACATGATGCAGGGGGAGCAGAGTTATTCAAATCTGTGACTCTGAATTTAAGAAGCAGTTTGCAGATCGTCTTCTGCATTAAGAAAAGCACCAAAGTCAATCATAAATGCAGTCAGTCACTGAAACTTCCAAAGAATTATCTGGCTTCACTGCAGGCACAGATAAATTAGAGATTATGGGCATAAGTCTTTTTTTGCACAAGGGTATATCAGGAGCCCCATCACTGAAGTCAACAGATCTCAACAAGAAAAGAATTAGGCCCTATGGCTTTTAGTAAGAGGAATACAAAGAGTTTAATTACAAGGAATCATGCTGAACCTCCCTTCCCCCATACACAGAGACTGCACATGTTCTCTAGCAAAGTTTGTCTCTTGCAACATTTTTGTACTTCTGTTATCCTTATCCTAATCAGATACTACCAGTGTGCATATAACAGGGACTTAGATGCAGTAAGGATGGGGCCATTTAGATATTAACACATGATGGGGTGGTTAAAGTACTAGTAGGGCTGTAGCTCAGTTCTCTATGAAAAAACCTGGTGAAATCCCAATTATGCTGCAGTTTTTTGTCCTCCATGTTATGACTCAGAAATACCCAAAATCCTCAAAGAGAAGGAGTTCCTATTATGTGCCAAGGAGGGAGTTTCTCATGTAAGCAATGCCTCTTTAAGGATTAAAATAATGCATAGCACATGTAAATTAACAGCTGCTGGAAATTCAAGTAATACAAGTATAATGCTTTATTTCCACATACATAAATGGTCTAATATGTCTATCAAAAGACTTGAAAATAAATCACACAAAGAATTACATTTAAACCATCCTCTACAAAAACCTATGGCAAAAAAAAAAAAAAAAAAAAAAAAAAGCAGGCGTAAGATGAAGATCCCAGTTGTGGAACATAAATAAATGTTTAGGAGCCATCAGCTGCTGTACCAGATAATTTGACAAAAATGGAAGTACTTACAGTCTAAGTGACTATGTCTAATGCCTTCCACATCTTCAGCATGAATGAAGTGGTAACATCTCTTTCCTACAATATCTACAGGGGTCAGATCCATGTAATCACTAATCCTAAAAAGGAAAAAGAACATAAAGCCTATAATTCGAGAAAGAAAAGAACAAAAGAATTGTCAAATGACTCAGAAAGTTAAATCTGCTAAAAAGTTTTTTCAGCATTATATCATTTGAATGGAATGTCTGTACAAATGACACAAGGCCTTAGAGGAAAAAAAATCTTTTAAAAGAAACCTAGAAATTATTTTATCTATTTAACTAAGTGGAAAATTAAATTCTAGTGCATATTCTCCATGTAGCATAACACCAGGACACTATAATTCCATGAAATTGTAAAGCATTAGTGACAATCCAAAATCCTCATTAAAAGACTAAGATGATTCAAGGTTACATAATAAAGTAGAAACATGTTATGTTTATACCAAATGATTAGAGACACATTTCATTTCAACAGATTGGTCTTCTATTGGGTATATTCATGAAAAAGCTCTTCAGCCATTTCTTGGCACCAAGTCCAAACTCATATTTCAAGGGATATAATTTAAATGCTGAGACACACAGATGCCTCAGGGTGTTATCTTTTTTAGTCTAATTCATTTGGGAGCTCAGCTTTCACTCTGGGCCCTTTCAACTGGGACTTTGTTGTTTATTGCACACAGAAACTTTAAAATCTATTCTGCAGACCTTTGTGTGTGTGTGTGTCTGTGCACTTGTGTCTGTGTCTGTATGTGTAAACTCATATTGTGGGGAGTCAAGGTGTCATCCTCCTTAAATACATGATAGAAATTAAAAAGAAAATTGGAAAATGTCCTGCTCAAGTAAGTGTTTGAAACTAAGTCTGTTTTCTAGACATAGAATACTTTTTTTTAGGGTTTTAAATAATCTGCAATGATTGTCGTATATTGTATGATAAGATCAGGGAGAGGAAATCCAACCTGCCAGCCTAGTAGAAAGGGGCAATCTCTAGGCAGGCCACTATCCTGTGGTCCTGTAAAACATATGCATAGGCTTGTGTTTGAGTAGATCAATGGTTCCACTGACTTACAGGACTGTTAGCATGATTGAAATTTAAAGGTAGGTATATGGTGCAGTTCTTTGCTGTCTTTGCTGAAATTGTGCACATTTGTAGGCTTGAGGTTTGCTACACAAGACTGCTTCTGTATATCTGAAGGATCTACTGACAACCACTCTCATGGCCAACAAGCCAAACCTCTGCCATGTGCTTATTTCTTTTTGGGCACATATTAGCAGTTGTGGTATTACAGTCCATGTTAAACTGGCAATTGTCTCTTTCCAAATGGTCTTCAGTCCTTAACAGTTGAAAACACACAGACTGATCATGCACTCTAGCAGCAGTCTCTCATTTTGCTTTTAGTTATTTATCACCATCTGAGATGATTTTTCCTCTGCAGGTGCTTTTCTCACTCCACTGACTAATAAAGAAATCCCACATTATCTTAGATGGTGAATCTTAGATGACACAAATCCTACATTTGCAAAATAGACACAGATTAACATACCATGTTTAGGCAACAAAATTTTACATCCATATTTTACACTCTCAAAGAAAAATATTAATTTTTAGAAATAGCTAACAGATTTTATCTCAGAGGAAAGCTAATGCCTGGCTAGTTTGTGCACTGAATCCAGGATTATGAAGGAGATCTCTTCATTCTGAGGAAAGTAACAAGATGCACCCAAAGACTTGAGTAATGTCATTCCTGCTCACTGCTGTTTCAAGCAGGCAACCACTTGGAAAAGTAGGAGTACTATTGATCTCACCCCTGCTGATCCAGTGGTCCACTGTGAGCATTCATTTCAGTTAAGTGGCATGGCTTCTGCTCCATACTCCCTGCAGCTGCCAGTAACTCTCCATTGCTCCATAAATAGTGCTTACAGCCTGCCCAGCATGGATCCATTTTTCTCTGTTTTCATCAATGTTGTGCTTGCTTTACTGTGGCACCGCAAAGAATTTTGTAGCTGCCCGCAAGTGCCAGGAGTCAAGCTCATATATTCAGGGTGGGACACTTATCTCCTTTTCTATAATCCCAGAAGAGAGATCCCAACGTCCCTGACTCAGAGAACAGCCTTGGCAAACACCCAGATAATTAATCTGACAGCTTCAATCAGCTGTTCTGTTAATTCCTTCCCATCTTCTGCGTTGGCATTTTTTTTTTTTTTTTACTCATTTCTCCACTTTTTACAGTCATATTCTGCACTGTAGCTCCTATAAAATCCAAGTCCTGTCATTCTTATTTCATTTTAGAATGGAAATCCTGCTGCATCAGTGAGACCACATTCACCTCCCAGCACTGGCAATAGTATTTCTAGTATTTGAAACTACTTTTATAATATATTTTTAACAGCTTTTTGACAATGACGCAGGGGCTTAAAGTGGAATTATTGTAGCATACATTCAAGTATCACCATATGCGTTCTGTATTAGCATGAGATAAAATCCATCACAAACAAGGAAAAGTTGCTTTATAATGTTGCTTTCAGCTTAAAAATTGAAAATCATTAATAAACTCAACAGTTTCTTGCTATCTTCCCACAGTTTACCATGTCTTGTCAGCCCTTCCTATGTAATTACCAATCAGTGCACCTCACCTGATGAATTTTACAGTTTTCAGTGATGTCTTTCTCAGGCATTTGAAAATTTTATTGCTACATGAATATAAAGGGAAGGTTTGAGAAAAATGTTTAATTAAAAAAACCCACATATACAATTTAGGGCTCATAAAAATGCCACACTCACAGCAGAGAAAGCATAAATCTTCCTAATTTGGACTAAAAGTTCATATCATTCTTGACCTGATGGAACAGTTCATTTTTCACATCTATTTGATTCCTGGCTTTTTTTATGGAGGTTGCCAATAAAGGCAGCAGTAAGTGCAGGTGATTTTGTTAAAAGGGAATTTGTTCATTAGGAACTGGATAGATACCAGCAACTCACTTCACAGAGGCCTTTGAAAAACTCTGCAGTGGTAGCAGCTTTCCATTACTACCTAGGTAGGTCACAGTGACATCAAAGACTTAGGGAAAAGTTTTGTTCTAGATCCTATTCCTAACCCCCAAGGCTCTTTTTCCAGTTGCCAGATTATACAGCATCTGGATACTCACTGGCTAGAGTCTCAGGCAAAAAGCCCAAGCTTTAATACCGTTGTCCACTTTTTCTGTGACCTTGTGTAAAACACTTTCCATGAAGCAGTTTTCCAAGCTTAAAAATGAGAATAATACAGTCACTTTTAGAAAAGGCTTTGGAAGTGTAGATGAAGTGTTCTGTCTAACAGTCAAGTAATATTATTTTTAAAAGTATTGCAGCGGTGCAGCAGTGTGGCAGCAAGGACAACCTCATAATTGAAATCCAAGATTATTTTAAGTTAAGAACCTGATTCAACAAAACAGTTGAGTTTATCCTTTTTAATAAAAGTTTATATCGACGTGCTATCCTGATCACAGGTATCCCACTATAACTGAACAATTATGATTGCTCATATCAGAGTGCATCCACTCAATTTCTAATATGACATTGTTGCTGTCACAAGAAAAGCTTGCAGTAGCCACCTTGTTTCTTCCACTTTTTGATGACGTTCCCTTAACAAAATTTCTTTTGGCTGCATTACCTTCCTTCTTCCTTTCCAACCTTTTCCCCATATCTCAGATTTCCATCAATGCACTCAAACTTACTACATGTAATTTCCTTCTCAGATATTTTCATTCTGAATACCTATTCCTTGGATTATATTTTGCTTTTTCAAAATCAGGACTCTGAGGTTTTAATGGTCTTGATCAGCTCCTCTGCTCTCCAGATCTTCCCCCAGCCCACCCACAGCCCAGACCCCCATGGCAGCCCCTGTCAGTGCCCAGCTCCCCACAGCCCTGCCTGGCCATTGGCCCCCCTGACCCAACCCCAGCCCACTCCACTGCCTGTCCCCAGGAGTTGCCTCTGTGCCCCCAGGTGCCACTTCTGGGATGGTGGGATGGGCCCTAGTGCCATGCCCTGCCCTCACAGGTTGCCACGCTGAGCCCCCAGTGCCACAGGCACCCAGCCCCCAGGGAGCAGGAGCTGAATTTAAACCCTCTCTTTCACCTTCCCAGATCACTTGTCACTATCACATAGAACAGAGCCCCCCCCAACCAACTCTTCATCACCTGTTCCCATTTCACTGCTGTCTTTCCCAGTTTGCCCTTAACCAATTTTATTCTACAGTTTTCCCACCTCTAACTGCAACAGATCCCACCTCTCTAGCCTACTATCTAGGCCATCTGTGCTTCTGTTCCATTAAACACTGAGCATGATAGCTGTAATCTGCAAATTAGTTCAAAAATGGAAAACTTTAAAACTTCAGACAGAAAAACTTGTGGAGGGGAGGATGGAGGAGCATAAGGACAAGCATACAGGTCAGACCAACGTCTGTCTAGTCCCAAATCTTGCCTGTGAGAGGGACGATGAAAAATTGTAAAAAGCAGTGAAAGCTTAGAGGAATATTTCCTGGTGTATCTTCCCCTATTCCAGAAGTCATCCTGAAAATTACAGTTTTAAATTTACCTTTATCTTCTAAGAATGTAATGAAAATGAAGGTAGCAATGATGAGAATGAATTCAATGCTCTGCTACAACACCAGGATGACATTGCAAAAGCCAAAAATTTCAGAACTTCTTGCCAAGCCCACGGAACAAAGAATACACGCAACTAAAACAAAGAAGTAAAGGATCTAAAGGCCGTACCTATTTTCACAGTAAATGATATTGAGGTCCATATTCACACGAGTGACAAACATGTGGCAGTCAATCCTAACTTCATTAATTGTAGGAGGTGGCAAAGCATGAGCAACGACAACAAGTCCCATGATTTGGCTGGGCACCGTCCGTCCGTGTGACAGTGATACTCGCAGACGTAACCGGCCTGTTATATGAATCACCTGGAAAACAAAACAATAAAAATACCAGTGATTTCTGAGTGCAACTGTGACATCAGTTTCTTTTAGAGGATAGCTTTACTGTTCCCTACAGATCACTTAACACTGTCTAAAATTGTACTAAGTAACTGCCATTATCATTGTTAAGCTTATTAATATTGGCTGTCAACATGCCCTATATGTCCTCATGGCAAAAAGAACAGAAGAGGCAAATGCTTCACATTCATCAAATAAAAACCTAAGAACTGCTGTGGTGTTGATTTTTGCTGTGGTGGTTGTTACACAAAGAAAGAAGACAACAACAATGAAGTAGAAATTCAACAAAAAAGAGAGTGGGATAAAACTGAAACAATGAAGCTGGAAATTAATAAACTAACTATTTTATAATATTTGGAAATTGAATATGACACAAGAAAGACCAGCAGTTTTGAAACATAATGGATTTCACTGAGTTGATAGTCACCTACACCATGGAAACACTGTTCACTGCCTTAAATTTCTACTTTGTGGTTGGCAAATTGAGAAGCAAGAGCCTACAGGTGATCTCTGAGCTCAGGTGCAGGATAGTCTTTCTGCATCCACAGTAAAACATTTAAAGAGTTGGTAGACATGTAATGCCTTTGCCTAGTGCACTAGGCAGGTATGGACAGCTCTGGGGGTGGTGGTTTTCTTCCAAACACACAAGATAATACCAGAAGATGGTGAGATCCAATAGCATCCATAAGAACTACATCCCCCTTCTAAGAATGCTGCCTGAAATAGAAAACTGAGACTCTGGGAAACGAATTATTTACCACTTCCAATTTCACTCCTTCAGGAGTTTGGTGTATAAATAAAGGGGTTGTTTTATCCAGTAAAATAATATAAATACAGCAAATTGAAATGAAAATGCAAACTGAGCTCCTGTACTCATGGATAAGAGAGACACAAGAACTGGCAGTTGCCGGCTGCCACAGATTTTCATCCTCAGAATGTGGTACAACATCAACATTAAGAGAACACCTCCAGGAGATGAGGGCCCCTTTTTCTGTCATCCCAGACTCCCTACCCAGAGGTCAACAGAGAAGTTGGTTGATCCCTGGGTCACAAGAGGAGGTGACAAAAATGGGTAATAAGTGTACTGATACTCATCTCACTTCTGATCTGAGATTGATAATAGAAACTGAGAGAGAAGAAAAGTTGTCATTTTTAAGACTGCAAATCACAAAGTGCTTCCAAATTCAAATCCAATTCATGCTAGTAGCTCTGTGATGTAAGACTTGAAATTTGTTTCTTTTTTTTAACCTAGTCATTGAAACATCTCCTCTCACCACTATTTCACATTTCAAGCCTAGCCAGTGTGGTGAATCTGAATGAGGAAAGTGATTAGCTGCTGTGTATGGCCATTTCAGTTACAGGTTTCTGACCACCCATGTATAAAGTAACTATTGCCTAAACTCACACTTAATGCACCTTTCAAGGGAAAACTATTCTATGAATATTTAAAAAAAGCTCCTAAAGGCAAAGATGCAAAAACAGCATTTCAAATCCACTTTAATTATTTATTTTTTAAAAAACCTCATTAACAAATGAAGAAATAGCTAAAAGAAATAGGATTAACTTCACAGGAGGGGCAGTAATAGTATATTTTGCTCCTTCGAGCTAGGCTTGCATATACATCTCCTTTTTATCATTATCTGTCTCTTTATCACGCAGTTTCAGCTTACTGCAAAACTCAAATCTGTAAATGCTTGGAAAAATGCTGATGGATAACTGGTAAAAATGTGAAAATTTATCTTATCCTGAATGTGCTATGCAAAACTATAATTTTTCTGTTGTTTTTTCGTAAGAGTCCTTATGCTAATATGTTTGAAGTTGGCACAAACACTTCAGGGAATTTTTAAGCTATATCATATATATCTATATCTATATCTATATATATATATATATCTTCTTTGTATTTTTCTAAACCTTCATGTCATTTGCAGCTAAATATCAAAATGATTTGTTTTTGAACAACTCTCTATTCAGGCAGTACCTCACTTTTTTTCTGATTCTTCATCTGAAATACCCTTCAGATGTAGTATTGCCCAAGAGACAGTTCCAAACCTGGTAGGACCATCATATATTAACGTTGCTGAATTTCAACAGAACTTGCTTCCAGATTCAAATTATTTAGCGTGTTCCTAATTGCACCATGGATCAAAACATGTTCTGAATTCCCATATGAAGTAAAGTTTTAGGGGTCAGCACTCAATTTCATTCTGATTCTCTATACTGGGAAATGTACAGCAAACTACCCATCAGTTCCAGTGCCTGTGTGCCTCTAAAGGAACTGTATTTCCATGCCTGAAATACCTTTCTATGACAACATTAGTCAAATGCATCAAGTGGGAAAATCTAATTGGTAGTAAAAAACAATTCTAACTGTCATGACCTTGTCTATATTGTGAGTATTGCCACTTTTAACACTGGTTCATTTGAACTGGGATTAGGGGTGATAGGAATTATAGGGTCAATTATCTCCCGTAGCTAAAATTAATCTCTTTATAATTCAATCCCACAGCACTAGTCTATCATATCCTAAAGCAGTATTATGACTTTAATGAAGCTAAATTGCAACAATAAACTGTTTTATGAAGGACAATACTTGGCTCCAGATGTAAATATATATTAAAAATTTGCTAGGAATTTACTGAAAATAAAAAGTAAATGCAGCTCTTCTGTGCAGTTACCTTTATAAATGCTTCCTTTTGAAAAGTTAGTCCTAATCAATCTTTAAACTCTTATCTTCTTTCTACTAATGCCATATGAATAGACAGGCACATTTGTATGTCACAGCAAGAGAAGACAGTGATACTGTGCTCTGTTACAAAAACGTGGGTGAATGCTATACTCCTGATCACAGGAACATCAGAACCTTTGTATGCCAAGAGCTGGACAGATTTCCCCATCATTTCTTCATTTACCTTCTAAATTAAATTAATAACAAGACTCCTTCTTTATGTTGCTGGGAGCTGGACTGGGTTAACTGTCCAGAGATCTCTTTGCTTACAAACTCTTTATTAGTAGGTGTAACTATGATTTTATGATTCATACTATAGAAATTCAGGGAAGTCTTATGGTTGAAATAAAGCATGTGACTTGATTGAGATCAGAATTTTGCTTAGGCTATTCTGATCTACATTATTGCTTGTAGTACAACCTTGGATAGGCAGGTGGGTGAAGAAAAAAACATTTTACAAAACAAGAACTTTTAACACTGAGAAATGAAATAACATATATACTGTAAAGATGTAATGCTGAATCAAAACAAATACTGTAAAAATCTTCTGTACTGCTTAACTGCTTTGTTTAAAACAAAAAAAATATCTAAATCAACTTTGCCTGACACTCCAATATAGGAAAAAAATTATTTGGCTTTTATTTTTAGCTGATTAGAAAAGGGATTTGCAAAATATTCTAAGTACATGTAAACACATGAGTTTATGAGTGTGGGAGTGTTAACAAGCCACACTAGTTGGACAAATATATATTTCCTTTCCCTGCCATATGCTCTCTTTAGTCATCTGTTAGTGATATGCACTTAGATGTGCTCTACTAATGTCTACTCATTATAAACAAGCACATCACAAAGACCTTAATAAAACCTTCCCCCGTCAATACTTAAGGAAGTAAAGCCCAGTGATGGAAAAACACATCTGGAACCTGCTGATCATCCTTTAAAGCTAAATCTCACCTCTGAAGATGGAAATACTTTATTTGTCAAAAGATATATTTAAATATTACATCAATTTTTTCACATACATGTGATGTCAGAGTACGGACATGCATTACCAGAGGCTATAAAACCTGCAAGCATGAAAAATCTGTGAATTTCACCTTTCAAATGTCTCTGCGTGCTTCAAAACTTAAACTTCAATTTGAAATAAATTTCTAAACTACTTCTTTTGTTCTCTGTGTAAATGATTATGCCAATTTATTGTGTGTGTGAAACTACAGCACTGGCAGAAGTTGTCCCTCCAGCTCATTTAATGAGACATTAAATTTAAAGTCTTAAAATTATTGTGTAGAATAAATTTTTAGAAAACAATCACATACAAAAACATGCAATTACATTTAGTGTGTGCACCTAAGTATTTAGGTATTTTATAAACAACTCACACACACATTTATCCCCCTTTACAGAAACTACTGTTTCTGAAGGATATATATATATATGTGTATATATCTATATTTTTTTTTTTTTTTTTGGTCTCTCAAAGATGTTATTTTATACTTCCAAAATCAACACCTAAATCTTTAAAACACAACCAATTTAAACTGATGAAATTGGCCAAAGATATATCTTACAAACTATACCCATATTCTCTCATTTTTCTTTCAAAGAGTTGTGTGCTCCTTCACTCACTGATACACATCCATGCATCTCAAAACCTGTCTGTGACACCAGCGAGACAAATGTTTTAACTCTGCAAAATAATGAGTTCCTACATGGTTTTAGGTGATTTCTAAAGTAAGAGTGAGCATTTGGAAGCAGAGTTTCCTCTGGACTAAGAGGAAAACAGAGCTCAGTGTCACATTGGGAATTTACACAATGACATCTGAAAGTTTTTTCTTTTCTGACATAAAAATACAACCATGTCTATCAACCTGAACTCCAGTATAGGTTTCTTTATTTACCACATTTCTCTTCTTTCCTGCCCATGTCACACTGCAATCACTACAACATTCCTACTTGCTTATGTTTTCTCATGGTCAGAAATTGTTTGTTTCTGTGGTTCCACAGCCCCATCCTCATTGAGATCAAAGCCTGCTCTCCCAGGCTTCATGAAAGCTTTGGGAGAAGATATCATTGGTGTCTGCTTTATTTATCATTCAGCAGTAGTTGGGAACTGAGAGGTCTAGTAAGGCTTTGTGTCTGCAGGTCCTGTAATACTCCCATATCCCCTTCTCAGACTTACTGCATTTCTATAACCACTACAGTATTACTAACAGGAGATCCCCTGGAGCACGACATTTTG